GGGAGCCCGATGTGGGACTCGATCCCGGGACTCCAGGATCATGACCTGAGCCGAAGGCAGTCGCTTAACCAACTGAGCCACCCAGGCGCCCTAAGGACCTGTTTAAAGAGGTCCGAAGAAGTCTGGCTGAGGCTGGAAGGAAAAGGGGGAACCCACAGCGGGGCTCCATGCCCCCAAGGTCACAAGAATCCATTTTCTGTCCGTGAAGATGGAACAGAGCCAAAGTTCAGGCAGCAGTTATATAATCTCCTGACTGTTTGGCTGCCAGCCTGATAACCTACCTCCCCTAATGTTTACTGTGCTTTCCTAGAGCTAGAAAGAGCCAGAAGGAGCATGGGCCACACCCACCCTTCTTTGCAGTGGCCATGCCCAGTATCAGGGTAGTGTACAACCTCCTGGGATTAACAGGCCTGGGCTGGGGTCCCACGCTCCCCAGGGACAGTGCAGGGCAGGAAGCTCAGGGCTCTCCCCATATCCCTTCGTGTGAATCTGGGAGTCAGCCAGCTCTGTTGGACTCTGGTTGGCTAGGGAAGGGTGGATCAGATAGAGGAGGGAGCCCTTAAGTTCCTGCGAAGCAGCATTTGGCAGGCTCAGGCCAGAAGGAGGCTGACTAGGGTGGCCCACCATGGGAGCAAAGACAAGCCAGGGGCCATGGACACCTCTCTTGCCAGCCTCAGCCCTCTCCCTGGACTGCCTCCACCTGTAGCCCTAATTTGGACAACTTTTCCCAAGCACGTTGCAGCCTCTGGAGGAAGCATTCTGGGAGAAAGCGGCAGGTAGAGGCTAGGGTGCCATGCAGGAGCCACCGAGCACTCCAGGTCCAAGGTCCGGGCATGAGAGAGCCGGCAGTCCAGGATGGAACAGTGCTTTGCAATTCTTGTCTAGGACAAGCAAAATCACAGCCTCTTTGGAGGTAATGACTCCAGGACTTTTGATGAGAGGGTGAGGATGGGCTTTCTTTCTCTCTCAGATCTTGGATATTAGGCTACTTCAAGCCCCAAAGCAGGAGAGTAGAGGAGGTATGACATGAGACCTCAGGAGGAGGAGGAGGCCAGAGGGGCGGGCTGAAGGCAAGGTAAGTGAAGGGAGCCAGCAGACGAAGAAGCCAGCAGAGGCGAAGAAGCAGCGCGAGGGGCCGCCCCGGGGGGACAGCTGCACCCACATGGCTGACTGGGGCCCGTGCCTGGCCAATGGTGTAATGGTGAGGATGCAGATATAGGAAAAAGGCAGGAGAGGCGGAGGGATACTGGGGAGAAGGGGGTAAAGGAGGCTCCCTGCCATGGGCGGCCACGGAGCATCCTCCTTGTGGGCTCCCTCACCCACGGGAACCAGGCTGGACAAACACCCATCATACGGCAGCCCAGTTTTGTTCTCCTTCCTTCCACTCCAGTTTGGGAAGTCCATGGATCTTTCTGCGGGCAGTCTCAAGACCAAACTTTGTCCCTTTCACTACCCAATAAAAACTTCACCCCACAGCTTTCATCCAAGGAGATGAAAGTGGCTTCTGTAGACACAGAGTCAGCAGGTTCCTAGAAGAGTGGGGCAAAGTTTACCCTTGTCAGGCAGCCAGCTTTCAGGAAAGAGGGGGCCCTTGGCTTGAGGATGAAGGACTGTTGGGGTGGGTTCCCTCGTCCAGCCCTTCAAACCTGGGCTTCTCTGGATGAGGGCAGCCCCAGAGAGAGCTAACAGATCAGCCCTCAACCCTGCCTTAGTTCTTCAGCAAGCAGTTGCCTTTTGCCCGGAGGCCATCACATGTCCCTGGGACACTATCCTAGCAGGGCTCAGCAGCCCCGGCCCGCACTGAAGCCTCCAGCTAGAGCTCTCCTTCTTTCCTGGACAGGTGGAGACCCTGAGAGTTTTAGGACTCGTCACAGGCCAGTGAAGGACAGTGGCACCATGCTGGGCTGCCCTGGGGCCCTGCTATCTGCCTTGGGAGCTGTTGAGGTACCAAGCGGAGAGATGGGGTTGGGGGGACTCCAATTCCACCTCCTGAGATTTATGAGGGCAATAGAAAGTGATGAGGAGCACTGCCAACTTCCCTTCCACTTCAAAGCTCAAGGGGGGGCGCCTGGGTGGCTCAGTTGGTTAAGCAACTGCCTTCGGCTCAGGTCATGATCGTGGAGTCCCGGGATCGAGTCCCGCATCGGACTCCCTGCTCAGTGGGGAGTCTGCTTCTCCCTCTGATCCTCCCCCTCTCATGCTCTCTGTCTCCCATTCTCTCTCTCAGATAAATAAATAAAAAATCTTTAAAAAAAAAAAAAGCTCGGGCACCTGGGTGGCTCAGTTGGTTAAGCGACTGCCTTC